CCCTTCGCCGCCCTCTCCTCGGCCTCAGCCAGGGATTTCTTGAGGATTTCAACCTCAATCACCGCTCCTACAAATATCACGGCACTACAATCAATATACATCATTTATTCTTTCCGAATATACAACAAGTCTCCACATACCTTGCATGTCCCCCAGCCGCCTTTTCACAAGGCCGAGCTCTTCTTTGGACTGCTCTAGACTCTGCTTTAGTCCGGAGACCTCGGCGGCATGAGAAGTGGCGGCCAGCAGCGACGCCTGTGCTCATAAGACATATTTAGTTAGTTTCCTGCAAAAATTACTTGATCCTCTGTCCGGCTTTTCTTTCCGAACACCGGACATTGTCTCAGGGGCTACACTGTCTATACTATGACCTTTTCTTTCGCATCGCTTACCTCAAAGCCTGTCAGCAGGCTGGTGCAGGCTTCGGTCAGTCCGCTCTTGATGGACTGAACCCTCTCAACCACCGTACCCATAAGGATACAGTGTTCCTCCATAATGAAAGCACCTCATAGCGTTTCCAGGAGATTATCTGGTGCCTCTGGCTAGACAGAGGTCACCGGCGGAATAGGCACACCGCCTTCTTTCGAAGGAGGCTGCTTGCCATATTCCAGAGCCGTATAGGTCTCTGGAACCGTACTCGGCTGGGATCCGAACTGGACATGGCCCCCATCGCCAGTCTCCACGAGGGTTCTCTCTCCCTGGTGTTTGGCGGCCGAAGGGTCACCCTCTGGCGCCATCCGGATAGCCTCCTGAACCTCTCCCTGGCCCGGAAGGTCCTTTGGGACATCACCACGTCGTCGCCCTTGGCTGTGGGAGATTGAGTGATCGGCGATGACTCGCTGGCCATCGCCTTTGAATCCAGCGAACCTCCTGATGAGGATCGCAGGGAGCTGTCGCGGGCCGGACTACAAGTGCATGATTTAATGCGTTAAAACTATGAACCAAAGAGGCTGAATATATGAATATGTCAGAGTCTTTTGAGTACTCATGATGTGGCCAGGGGCTTGTTTCGGCGGCGCGGCTCTGGGCTGCTGTCGACGTCCCACGCGGAGTTATCCGCAAGGGATCTCTTCCCCCTGTTGGACGCCTCTGCCTCCAGATTTGTGGAGGCCGCCCTCTTCTTCTTTCCCCCCTCAGGGGGAGACATGCTTTCCTCGTTGTCTTCAGCGGTGGAGGAGGGAGTCTCGTTGTCTTCGGATGTCTTGTCCAAAGCTCCTTTGCGACGGAGGCCACTCCGGGCCCCCTTGGCCTTCTTCTCCGGCACCTGGTAAGGCACCGGAACCAGCATCTTCGTCAGAAGAGGGATGGCTGGTTCCTCGGGCAGCGGACCCGGAGACTTAATCTGCTCCGCTTTCTCTGTCCATACCTGAAAAAATAACTAGTGGAGTTTAGGTATCTTCCTTGAATAAGCAAGTAGAGGATACACCTTGAAAACGCAAAAGACTTACAGCACTGGCAGGATGGGCCAAATCGTGCCCGCGGTCCTCGTCCGTCTCCAGCGGTGTCTCGTTGCCCTTGAAGAGCAACTTCCAGATATCTTCATGTGTGGTTCCAAAGAGCCTTTCCAAGGTACGGTGCTTCTCCGGATCTAATTCCCACAAAGGGCAAGTCCGGCTCTGGCATGGAAGGATCCGGCGAACTAACATCACTTGGATCACATTGACGAGCTTGATGTTTTTGTCCACCATACTTTGGATGCGTGTTTGTAGCGGGATCAGCTTGTCTGACGAGGACCAATTCGGACCCTTCTCTATCTAGGAGGTGAGCCGCATTGGAGCTCCAGACTTGAATTCGGGAGCCGCAACCCAGGTGGTATCGTGGGGCTTTGTGATATAGAACCATAGTTTCTGCCACTCTTTGATGGTCTCCACAAAAGTACCCTTGGGCCATGTGACGTTGGGCAGCTTGCTCACCGTGGCGCCTCCGCACTCCGCGTGTTGACCATCCACCACCTTCAGGTTCATGTTGAAGATCTTGATCCATAGTCCGAAGTGGGGTGGAATGCGGAGGAAAGCCTCACACACGACAATGAATGCCGAGATATTGAGGAAGGAGTTTGGAGCTAGATCATGGAAATCTAGCCCGTAATAAAACATGAGTCCGCGGACGAAAGGATGGAGAGGAAACCCTAACCCGCAGACAAAATGGGGGATAAACACCACCCGCTCATTGGGCTTCGGGGTGGGAACGATTTTCCCCTTGGCTAGAAGTTGATGGGCGATTTCCTTCGCCAGATACCCGGCCTCCCGAAGCTTGGTGATGTCCTTCTCCTTGACGGAGGAGGCCATCCATTTGCCTTGCGCTCCAGATCCGGACATGGTCGAGTGCTTCCTTGAGGTGGAAAAGATGAGGACTCGGGCGCTGGAGCTTGAGAATGGGAGGGCAAAGAGAAGGAGAAGGCGTGGGTGAAAAGGGGGAATCCTTATCTCCTTATAAAGGCAGTGAATATCAAGCGCCTCCCCACTCGCCTTGAAACTCACATATTCCCAAGGGTCATGTGAACGGCGCGGTTGGATTGCCCACGCCCGTATTGATGAGAATCTCGCAATAAGGGGACATGATCTTTGCTTTGACAAGACGTGCCAATGAGACCGCGTCTCGAAGCGGTAGGCCGAAAAACGGTTCAAAATAATGACCGGGTGGTGACGTGGTGTCACATTACCAATAGTTGTCAGCGGATTGGACTCAAGATATATTATACTCTTTGCGGTTGTGTGTGGAATTTATTTTGCAGAGCCGGACACGTTCGTTGCGTCCGAAGACTGTGTTGGAGTATTCGGAGGAGGAACCCGCCTTGCAATGTCGAAGCCAGTTTGTGCATCGGACACCTCGTCATTGAAGTCTGGTTCAGGGGCTACTGAGGGAGTCCTGGATTAGGGGGTCCTCAGGCGTCCGGACTATGGTACGTGGGCCGGACTGATGGGCTGTAAAGATACCGGATTGAAGATTATCTCCCCTGTCCGGACGGGACTCTCCTTGGCATGAAAGGCAAGCTTAGCGTCCCAATTTGAAGATTCCTTTCTATGTAAGCGACTTTGTACAACCCTAGTTCCCTCCGGTGTCTATATAAACCGGAGGGTTTAGTCCATAGGGACAATGACAATCAGATAGCCTAGACTTCTAGGGTTTTAGCCATTATGATCTCGTGGTAGATCAACTCTTGTAACCCCCATACTCATCAATATTAATCTAGCAGGACGTAGAATTTTACCTCCAATGAGAGGGCCCGAACTTGGGTAAACATTGTGTTCCCTGTCTCCTGTTACCATCAACCTCGGACGCACAGTTCGGGGCCCCCTACCCGAGATCCGCCGGTTTTGACACCGACACATACCCATTAAGCTTTGCTAGTTTTGATACTCATGGTAATGGGATTGCTGAGTCCTTGTGGCTCATAGATTACTACACCAACAGTTGCAGGTACAAGTAATGCTATGATCATGACGCGAGAGCGATGTTTTGCTTGTGTTGGAGTTCTTCTTCTTCTTCTTCGATCTTGGGTTAGGTTCCTGGTCGGCAGCCTGGGCTAGCAGGGTGGATGCCGTTCGAGCTTCTGTTTGTGTTTTCATCCATAGTCGGATGTTGATCTTATGTATGATGTATTGATGTATTCTTGCGGCATTTGTATGCCTTTTATGTATCCCCATTTATTATGTAATGTCGATGTAATGATATTCACCTTGCAAAAGCGTGTCAATATGCGGTTCTATCCTTGGTGGGACCTTCGAGTCTCTTTAGGATAGTATCGCATATTGGACGTGACACAACTGCAGTTGCGCGTACGTGGCAACTAGGTAACACACATGGCAACTATTGTTTGACCATATGTGGCAAGTAGTTAATCACACACGACAACTATGGTTTGATTACACGCGGCAACTACCATAAATTAGACATGACAACTATAGTTAACCAAAACAAAGAGAGTTGTCATGCTTTTACAGCTACATTTTTCATCCCGGATAACTACATTTGCCATCTCGGATGACAATTAAATCATCATCCCGCGGGTACCTAACGTAGTTGTGCCAGGACGTGTGGCATATTTGCTTCGTGCCACACGTGCGGGGTGGGAATGAGTAGTACTTGTTGGACGTGTGACACGAAGTAGCTGCGTCCACACATGTGGGCAATTATAATGTTTCGCCCACACACGGTCAGTGTGGGCTGTCTTCTGCTCACGTCACACATGGTGTGTGAGCGGATGTCTAATATGCCACATGTGTGGGCGTTATCAGGACCATTTACTTATGGTGTTCTTTGTACTAGCTGATGAATAGATTAAAAGTTATCATCGTAAAAGAAAAAGCTTCCATCCAAGTACCAACTAGAAGAGAGGAATCTTATACTCCCTCCTTCGATCCATTTGTCTAGATATGAATATATCTAACATTAAAACGTGTCTTAATAAGACAAGTAATATGGATCAAAGGGAGTATAAAATTTAAACATTTCCAAATAAATATGGCCTTTGGATATGCATCCAATAAAACAGGCAGGGGCTCAAACGTGTGTCCGAGTCAGCAAATCTTCGGCCAAAAGCAACAAAAGAACGGAACACAAATATTTCCTGCTCTACCCCACCGAGCTCGTGGCACACGCATCGTCCACGCGTCCCAATCAGCACCGGCGTAGGCCCAGCCTGGCGAGGCACCGGCCGCGAACGCTGCTGGTGGGCCGCCCTGGATCTAGCCGATGACTCGGATCCTCCTCTTCTCTTCCAGCCGTCTCACCGGTCAAATCCGCCCTCTCATCAACGGCGATATCCGCCGCGTATACCTGGTCCTGTGTGTGCACTGTGCGGCGCGGCATATATTATCATCGTCAGCTCCCTTTCTCCACGGCACTATATAGCTGTCGCCGAGCTCCCGGCTTCTCCCCATTCCTCGTCCACATCGCTTTGGTCTAGTTACCTTCGTCTATTGGCTACCGAAACCAAAGAGTTCACCAGAAGAGCACAAAGGATTTCCAAGAGGATCGTGCAGTGCAACAAGGGATCAATGACGTTGTGCGCTGATTTCGATGCGCTCCGGGCGTCGGCGGCGGACGTGCGGATCGTCACGTCGGACGGACAGAGCATCGCGGCTCATTCCTGCGTTCTTGTAAGCCAGCCTGCCGATCACGTTTCTTCTTTGTCTGGATCTTCTTGCCTTGTGCTATGCCGCTGACCTTTTGGTCTGGAACTTGGCGGCAACCTCAGGCCTCGGCGTCGCCGGTGCTGGAGCGCATGATCGACAGGGCGCGGCGCGGGTGGGGCGCCCACTGCACCATCCGCGTCCTCGGCGTCTCCTTCGACGCCGTCCGCGCCTTCCTCCATTTCCTCTACTCCGCCAAGGTGGCGCCGGAGGAGGAGGAGCTGGTGGGCGCGCACGGGACGCAGCTGCTGGCGCTGGCACACGCGTACCGGGTGGGGTGGCTGAAGCGGGCGGCGGAGGCCGCGGTGTCGGCGCGGCTCACGCCAGAGCGCGCCGTCGACATGCTCAAGCTCGCCAGGCTCTGCGACGCGCGGCGGCTGTACCTGCGCTGCGCGCGGCTCGCCGCCAAGGACTTCTCCGCCGTCGAGCGGTCGGACGGATGGCGCTTCGCCCGCCGCCACGACATCGCGCTCCAGCTCGAGCTCCTCCAGCTCCTCGAGGACGCCGACCAGCGCAAGGAGCGGTGGGCGCGCGAGAGGGCCGCGCAGGAGGCGTGCCGGCAGCTGGGCGAGGCCATGGCCTCCCTCGAACACATCTTCCCCGGCGACGGCGCCGTCTGCGCGGACGCGCCGTGCGCCGAGGCAGGGTGCACTTGCCGGGGCCTGCAGCTGCTGATGCGGCACTTCGCGACGTGCCAGAAAAAGGTGGCGCCGGGCGGCTGCGCGCGGTGCAAGCGCATGCTGCAGCTCTTCCGCCTCCACGCCTCCGTCTGCGACCGGCCGGACCAGGCCTGCCGTGTGCCGCTCTGCAGGTGAGAAAACGCAACCAAGAAACATGCATGCATTTTCCCGCCGTAAATTTACGTCCGTCCCGTCCGATCGATGGACATATCTAGCGATAGCTCGTCAGGCGTATGCCCGAGGATATGTCGCCGGATCAGCAGCACAAGGTGCAGTCTGCCGAGATTTTCTTTGCCCCGAAAAGGGGATCACATCGACCGACCTCTGCGTCGGTCGATGCAGCAGGCCGGCGAGACGCCTTCCGCCGGACGAATTCATTTGTTCCATCGTACTGAGAAAACGGACGTAGCTTTCTTACCTTTTCATGAAAATGACTTGGACGATAGGGCCAACGCTACCAAAAATCTCCACCCAAATGACTCTGACGCATGCCAAGTTGCCAACTATTGATTTTATTTACTTGTGATGGTGATATCAGATTACCGCAACCTAACGTTTCATCGTGATTGGCTAATTTTGTGCAGCCATTTCAAGGCGAAGGCGCAGACGGAGAAAGCGGACAAGACATGGCGGCTTCTGGTGAGGAAGGTGACGAGGGCGAAGGTGATGTCCTCCTTGGCCACTAGGAAGGTAGTGCCGGAGGTTGTGGCCGAGTCATGGACGAGATACAACGGCAGAGTGGCCAAGTTGAGATGAGAAGATAATCAAGCCTGCTCGTCTCCAGCATAGTATACTGCATAGTTTAATTTGGTGTAATCGTCAAGACCCGAGTACTTCAAAACATCAGGTCACGGTCTTGTGGGTCTAAAGTTTTTTTTGTGTGTATAGGTCTAAAGTTAGCAAGGTAGTGAATCAAGCTGTATATTATAGGGTCAGGCTAGAGGTACGTCCGGGTGATATTTATACTGGATTTTTCGATAATTATCCACAGTACATGTATGATACTGCAATCAAAGCTAGATTAACAACATCATGTTATATTGGTAGCTTGAGAGCTGATATGCGTGTGGATGGGCTCTATTAGGTGTCGGTAAAACTTTTGGGTGATAGAGGATCCTTGACGGTATGAGGTCCAGTGTGCAAAACGATTGGATTTTTCATAACCTCTTGATTTTCATACCTTCATGTCTTATCTATTTATAGTATTCTTTTGTAAGGGTTGCACCAAGAATTGAATCTAAACACTGAAGACTCGTATCGAAACCATGCATGTGTTCACTTCCTTGACCACCTGATATTGCAGCAACATATCAGGACTCCACATGCTTATCTGTCACAGTAGCATATCATGACCCAAGATGCTCCCACACATGCTCATCTTACTTTAATATATGTTGTATATTCATCAAAACATGCTAAAACATTCCGCCTCACAATCGGGCAAGCCATTATCCTCTTTAATACTATGTGATTTCCTATATTTAGTTTTGTTCCCTGAAAAAGCACCTAGTTTTGTTCTAGACGTTTTGGTTTAATTTAATATATATTTTTCATCTATTTTTATATGAATGTATACCACAATTTAGCCCGTTCATGAATTTCAAATGGACTATATATGAAAAAGTGAATTGTTAATATTTCTTTTTGTTCTTATTTTGATTGTGTTTGTACAATATTATTGTTTGCTAATTATTTGCCAATGCTATCGCTTGTTCCTCCCTCTTATTCACCCTACATTAGTTTCCTATACATGATTCATAATAATATTAAGTTACAACCAAAGTATGTTGAGGTATGGTATAGGAATGTCTCCACTAGGGGCAATTTTGAGCAAGAACTTTATACGGCGACATCTAAGTACCTCTAAAGACTGGTTAAACGATACATAACTACTGAGCAGCCGACACATACTAGCCGAACATGGGACGATGCTGTGATCCAGCGGACGGCCTTCACTTTGTGCCACGCATGCACGGTCAGATCATGCAAACATCAACTGCACACCGTTGTGTGTATAGCAGCGCTCTAAATGATATCTGCTTCAGGTCTTGCAAAACCGCACAAACCTCCAAAGACGCGTTTGATTGCGTGCTTGGGGTTGTATGGCCTAACAAAGTGAAATCTTCCACTGTATGGTGTTTGGCTGCATGCATGATGACTCAACTAGTCCAGCAATAGGAAAAGAAAGGTCAGCAACTAAAGAAAAACCTGAAAAGGTTGCATTTGGAAAAACTACAGAATCAACCATTTCCATAGGGCCAAGCCCGCAAGCAACACGAAACGTTGAAGATCCCCTTCTTTTTGTGGGCTAGCCCACATCACCAGCTCCCAGATAATACAAAACACGCCCCAAACCAAACAATAAACTCACAAAACCCATCAACCTACGGGAAAACCCTATTCGCCGCTTATTGCCTCAAAGTGTTGACGAAACGCACAGGCAGAACGCCTGCCGCGCTAGAAACGGGCAAGCCCAATTTACCACTGCTAACCAGCCGGTTTTGGGAACTTTCTAGAGGGTTCCCTGACTGTTTTTTTTTTCTTTACCGATTTTCCTGTTTTTTTTTGTTTTTCAATTTTTTCTTTTTTGTATTTTTGTTTCTTTTTTCCTTTCTTTTCCTTTTCTGTTTTTCCTCTTTATTTTTATTTTCTTAAAAAGGTTCATATTCCAAAAATTGTTCAGACTTTTAAATAAATGTTCGTGATTTGAAAAAAATTCAAAATTTTAAAAATGTTCATGATTTCAGAAATTGTTCACAAATGCAGAAAATGTGTGCATTTTTAAAAAATTGTTCAGGAATTTTAAATATGCTTTTGTTTTTCAGCTCGGAATGTTTTTATTCAAAATTTTCACAACTTTTCGAAAAATGTTGGGATTTCAAAATATGTTTCTGTTTTAAAATTTTGTTCCTAAATTCCAAATAATGTTCACGTTTCAAAAATTATTCATACATTCGAAAAATGTTCGTGTTGTCAACTTTTCTTCTGCAATTTCAAAAACTGTTACCACTTCGACAAAATTGGTCATGATTTTCAAAAAATGTTTCTGTTTTTTAAAATGTTCCAGTTTTTTTCAAAACATGTTCACAAATTTGAGAGTGTTTACATTTTCAAAAATGTCCAGGAATTTCAAATAACGTTCTTCTTTTCGAAATTTGTTTAAAATTTCAGAAAATGTTCAGATATTTCAAAATATGTTAATTTGTTCACAATTTAATAAATGTTCATGTTTCAGAAAATTTTCACGAATTTTCGAAAAATGTCCTCATTTTCAAAATGTTTTGACAATTTCAAAAGGCATTCAAAAGTTTTAAAAAATGTTTTCCTTTGCAAAATATATTCGCAAATTCAAAAATGTTCATATTTTCATAATTTGTTCTTCATTCAAAAAAAATTCAGCAATTCCATAAAAGGTTTCTGTTTTGATAACAATGTTCGCATTTTTCAAATTTGTTGCTGTTACAAAAAGTCTTCACATTTTTCTCAAAAAGTTGTTTGCAGTTTAAAAAAAGTAAATCTTTTTTTCAATGTTGCTCCTTTATTTGATTTTTCAGATTTTCCAAAAAATGTTTGTGTCTTTGAAAATTAGTCATTTCTTCTTAAAAATATCCGTTTTTTTTAAAGAAAACAATTTACTTTTGTGAGAAGAAAATCTGATTTGATTTTTCTCGCTGAGCTAGTGACGTCGTTCTCTCACGGGAGGTCATGTGTTCGGTCCCACTAAAACACGTTTTCGAGAAAAATTTGCGAGCTACTCTTTCATGTTTTGCCGCTGTGGTGCTTTTCTCTAAAAGTCGCGCTGTAAATCATCAACACAAGTCATCCGGATGGACTGGCTAGCAACGCGTGCGTGTCTGCTGCTGATCAGCGGTTTGATTCCCGCCAGGTGCTGCTGGTTTTGTTGATTCTTGCGTCACGCAAATGGGCCGGTCCAGGTCAGCGAGGAGGTCCCCTACAAGACCGGCATTGCAAAGTACGGGCTATACGGAGCCCGTTTTTCAATAAATAAATAAATATATTTAAGAGTTTCAAGAAATGTCAATTTTTTTATATAAGTACATATGCATGTTCTTAAAGTATGTAAAAAGTTTCAGAAACTAATTTGATTATTTGCATGCTGCACAAAAAGGAAAAATATCAGTCCAAAAGAGAAGGCCTATTTTAATCCATGTATTTATCTTTTTATGTACATCACATATTAACATATATGTTTATGAACCTTTATACATTTATACTATAAACATATGTCTATGTGTATATTTTTCAGATTTTTTAAGATATGAAAAAAATATTTTCATTGAAAGAAAAATAAAGAGCTCTATGGAGATCGGTTGATGCTTGCACTTCTCACACATCATATCCTTTTTAGACACCGCATCACATCAGTGTGGCATGCCCCCAACCTGCTTGTCCTGGGTGCAACTAACTAGGGGTAAGGGCAACTCAAACCGGCGAATGCAATCAAACGTGGTTTTTATCTTTTTTTTGTTCGTTTGTGTGGGTCAAAAGGATGACGTCCGTACATGTTTGTGTTTGTGTCCGTAGTGTGGCTAACCGGCCGATCCATTTGGTCCGCCCGGCCTGCCGGTGGTCAAATGTGCACAATTTTTACATGCATATATCTAAAAAGCAACATTGCATGTAGTTTTATTACAACCAAATAAATCAGATAGTATCACAATAAAAAATAGTTTACAACCAAACAAAAATCTCATAGTTTATAAACCAAATGAAATTTAAATTGTCACAAATACATAGAAAGTAAAAGAACCGATGCATCTATTTGTTGTCGAGGTGAGTCCACATATACTCAACCAAATCATTTTGAAGTTGAATGTGAATTTCCTAATCACATTTCATGATGAAATTAAGTGAACTGTGTAAACATTGCCGGTCCATGATCAGACACAATATTTTCACCCTGAAATTAAAACCCTTGATCATAGATTTGGTCATCGCGCTCATCCTCTACGATCATGTTGTGCATGATTACACAAGTAGTCATCACCTCCTACAACTTTTTGGTGCTCCAAATTCTAACAGGATACCGAGCGATGACACATCGAGATTGAAGCACATCAAAAGCATGCTCCACATCCTTCGTAGCACTCTTTTGTGCTTGAGCAAACATAGCCTTCTTCTCTCCTATCGGAATGGAGATTGTCTTCACGAGAGTTGACCATTGAGGATATATACCATTAGCAAGGTAGTATCCCTTGTTATATTCGTGGCCATTGATCTCAAAGTTGACCTCTGGGTAGTTGCCTCTTTTGCAAGCCTTCCGAACACCGGAGAGCGTCGAAGCATGTTGATTTCATTGTGAGAACCTGTCATGCCGAAAAAAGAGTGCCAAAATATAGAGATCTTGTGAAGCCACAACTTCAAGTATGACAGTTCAACCTTTGACATGTCCCTTATACAACCCCTGCCAAGCAGATGGACATTTCTTCCACCTCTAGTGCATACAATCTATACTACCAAGCATCCACAGAAAGCCTCTATCTGCATTTATCACCAACAACCGGGCACTATTCGCATCATTTGGCTCTCTCAGGTACTCTAGGCAAAACAATGCTATGACAGCCTTGCAGAACTTGAACAACAATGCAAGGCATGTGGACTTACTGTGATGCCCGGGTAATTAAGCTACAGTAACCTCTGCTAATGATGCCACGTCACCATGATTACTGTTGTTAATCCCGTGGTGGTTCAATCCTATTCAAATTCAAAATTCAAAATCAAGTCAAACGGCAAAA